AGGATCCATCATTTGCTTTGAGATTGCTTCTGTCTCACTTTACGTGTTAAAAGAAAAACAAGACAAAAGACGGAGGAGAAAACTGAAAACTCCAAGAAGCAGAACCGTGTTCAGAAGTTCTCATGTGTTTGTGGCGCCGCAGGCCGAAGCCTCTGACTAACAGAGAAACACTCACCTCAGACAGACGCTCACAGCTGGGCAGAAATATTAGGACCGCAACCTGATTGGCTGAAACAAAGCGGCCAACCAAATCACTCTAATCCTGTCATTTATTTTAGCCAATTAGTCGAGAAATGGCAGACATCCCCCCCCACCCACCACCACCACCACCACCACCCTTATTGAACATTTAACCTTGGCAACTGCAGCAAAGCTCAGGGGGTCTAATGCAGCCGAAAGAGAGCAGAGAAACAGGAAAAGTGATGAAAGGACGATGAGTTGGGAAATAAGCAGAAATCAGATGTACATAAGTAAATGAATGAATACTGATCTATTATGGTAATCTACCCAAAGTGATAAATAAATATATATATGTTATTGTTTGGTGGAAATAATTATATTTTAATGTGAATTCAGACTGAAAGACAGAAATCCACAGAAAACATCTGATTGCTTTATTTTGTCTGTGTTTCCCTCACTGTCTGGCATAAATACTCTTCTTTATAAATATTAGGAAAATAATTCAAATCCAAAAACCTTCTTTTTTATTTATTTATTTTTTGTAATTTCAAACCAAGTTCCACATTTATGCTTTTTCATGTGTTCTTGTCGCTGTTGCACTCGTTCCCTTGATGCTTTTAATTCAGGAGGCTGTAACGTGATGCATTCAATGTCACCGCCAGCAAAACAAAGCCTGCTCTATTTTACCAACATCCCGTTTTTTTTTCCTTCCATGTAATTTAAAAAGAAAATTTCCTCATCTGAAGCTGCACGAATAAAAGAAACGTTTTCCATTCTTCACCCTGAGCTGGATTTGTTCTGTAGTTTTTTAATTATTTAATGTTAATTCAGTTGTCAAATGGCAAAATTTGGAAGCATAAAAACATAAAAAGCTGCTGCTCAGAGTGTCGATGCAGATGTGTTTCCACTTCCACAGCGCCAAGACGAGCAAAACAAAGAAAAGGACGAATGATTCCAGAATATTTTTGGTATTAGTACCATAAATAAAACAATCAAACGCAGATACACTTCACCTGCACTCTTTACTGGGGTTTAGAAAACGTGCAGTTTTGTTCAGGTTCTGAGCCGTGCATTCAGCTGAGCCTGGGACAAAAACTGTTGCAGAAATCAGAGAAAGAAGGAGAAACTTTGTGCACCTGAGCTGCTGTGGAACAAAACATCAAGCTGGGCAACAACTAACACAAAACTTTGACATAAAAATGTGTGTTTGGGTTTGTGTGTCATTAGTAGCCAGTGTGTTAAGTAACAGCACACTTATTCTGAGCCTTGGAATTAGATGGTAAAGAGCAGGTGCTGGAAAATATGCTGGAGAGTAAAAAAATACTCAAAGTACAAAAAAAACTTTAAAGTACAGTTTAGACTTTAAGAAAAGAGCTGGAAACGATTGGGGGGAGGTGTTAGTGTGTGTGTGTGTGGGGGGGGGGGGCAGTGGCCTATCCACTCTAGGAGAAAGTGAGGAAGCTGTTTCCAAGCCTGTGTGTCTGTCGATGGAAAGTCGTCCACCCAGCAGGAAAAAAACACTTTGCAGCAAAGAAACACACACACACAGGTCCCGCAGGCGCTCTGTGTGGACACCTATAAAGAGGGCACACACACACACACACACACATGCTTTCACGTGAGGAACATCTAACTGTGAACACGGCTGCAGGACGACCGGCGCACCACTTGTCCGTGTGCACACGAGCACAATTAGTCACACATTTGTCAGATTCCTTTGTCCACACTCACCGAAACACAAAAGATGTAAAAGTACACACACACACACACACACACACACACACACACACACACACACTGTGCTGTACAAACACACCTAAGATTGCTTTGTGGTTGAGAGAAACTCACGGGCTTCTGCCAGCACGCTTCAAGTGCTCATTCTCTGAGGCCCCAGCCTTTTCTTTTTCAGCAGCAACGCTGCAATTTGGGTGTGCCGTTGGGCCGGAGATAAGTATAGGCTGACTAATGTGCACTTAGGATCCAGGGAGAAATACTTACAGGCTAAATGTTTAATTTGTGTTTGTTCAACACATGTCCAATTTGGCAGGGGGGGGCTGGTGTCTTTTTTTTAAGACCTCAACAACAAATAATTAAGAACTCTCCAGATAGGGCAAGATAAAAACGACAAATTGAATACTTTTTGTTTTGTTTTTTGTTCATGAAGGCGTATGACATCTTTATGAAAAGAAAAAAATCTAAACATCTGGAAACACTCAGAGCTGCAACGCTGACGGGACGAGAGACGTTCCAGTGGATGTTGAGAGTAAATAAAAGGCAGGTTTGTGCCGAGCGTCAGTGTGGATTTAACGATAACTCCATGGCTCTGCTGTCAGCCCTCTCTGCGCGGCTCGGCATCAGCTCGCAGCCGAAGGCCTCGCCGAGCTGCCGAGGAACGCCTTTTCCATCAGCACGGCCCGTTTTACTGCCTGGTGTCAGAAACAAACACTGAAAAGAGTCGTTTCAGAGCAAGTTGTGGTTTTAAGAAATAAAGGAATCTGTTTTAATAACATGAACGTGTGCAGAGGAGCCTGAGAAAAACCTGAGGGTTGGAAAGGTGGAACATTTCAGAATAAAATACTGAACGAATTAAGAAATACCTGCAAGCTCAGAATTTATCTTTAGATTTGAAGAAAGATGAAATCATCATGAGAAATGTTTTAGTTATTTTCAGTGCATCACAGATTAGGATTTTTTCCCATTTTTTAAATTTATTATGTGTTGAATTGATAAAACTCCTTCTCTTTGTCTCTGGAGCAGAACCTGTTGTCAGAGCTGCTTCCCACACAGGAAGAAGAGTCTGTGTGAGAGTTGTTGGT